TAGGACATAGTGCGGTTAGACACGGGTTAGAAGGAAGTCTGCACATGAAATATGCTGAAGCAAAACATCTATTTTAGCCCATCTGCTGGCTATTAATCTGTTTGGTAGATACATATGGTTAGTTCCTCAAAATACGAGCTCTGTATGTCCGTTGGCTGACCTATGTATTGTGACATCTTGTAGACATACTTTCTGTAACTCAAGGGCAAATCTTGAGGGGTGTTTCCTAAACTAACATGTGGCTTTAGCTGAAAGTGATAAACTATATAAGGAAGTTCCTGAATTTCACTCATTGTTCAGGCCATTTATTCTGAACCTGCGCAAATAAATTCTTCCTTCTCTGAAGAGCTGGCTTGTGTGTCCTGTCATTTTCTACAACACTATAATGTCACTCAACAATGAACTAAGGGGCCGCCATCAGTGAGCTATTGGACAGTGTTACGTGTTCTGTTGTGTGGATGCTTGGGTGGTTTAAGGCGGGGAATTTTTTGGAGGGTGTGGGGATTGTTCGTGTGTGTTGGGCCTGGTTCTCTTGAGTGTTGTGTGCATTTTGTTGTATGGGTAACCGTGTCTATATGTACAATGACAATAAAGTAAATCAAAACCAAATCCCGTTCCATCCCATTCCCCCCGGGACAAATTCAGTCACCTGATTCATTGGGCTCTGAGGGACGATGATGCGGTCAAAGATTTTTTCCAGATGCTTGGTGATGAAGTCAACAGGGTCCAGCTTCATCTTGATCAGGAGGGCAGGCCAAAGGCCAGGTTGTCTGGCGACTAGGAAAGGGAGAAACCGAGGCCAGGAGCTTCTCCCAAAGCCCACCCAATGCCCTTCTTCCGCACATCCAGATACGACCTCCCCCCCTCCGCTCACCCAAAGAAGGATGACTGCTGACGAGCAGCATTTCCAAGACCAGCTTTTCCTTCTCCTCCGGCTCTCCTTCCATCCCTGGCCCACAGGCGATGACGCACAAGGCTTCCTGGAGGATGCGCGGAGGGATGTACGTTTTGCCCTGTTCCGACAACTCTCCAGATTCGGTTACCAAGGCCTCAGGGGGGAGCACCTAATAATGAAGCACCTGATTGTAATTTGAGGGTCAAAACGTTTTGGAAAGTAGAATGATAAGTGTAAAAAAAAAAAAACCTTATATATTCAGGTCACAAGTTAAAAAGTGAGGTGAGCACACCCCTGTGTAGCTTTTCTTGGCTTACAGTGCAATAGGGCTGTCCTCGCTAAGTTAGCTACGAAGGCAGGGGGTTTTACCTTGTGTGAAACGAGGACCACTTTTAGCTCTTCTAAGAGCCCACAGGCTAACTTGAATCCTCTTGGCAAAGAGAGGAGTTTCCTCACAGTCTGCTGAGCGAGCCTCCGGACGCTCCAGGAACGGCTGAGGAGGACGGCGGTCAAGGCTTTGTAATACTGCCTGGAAGTGAGAAGAGTTCAAAATATGAGGAGACAAACAGGAAGTAAATGAAAATAGGTGGCAACGGAAGAGGCCTGGTAGTTCAGTAGTTAAAGTGGTTGTGGCCCGCCAGTGGAGCTGCTGGCAGACTCGGACAGGGAGGAGGTTGGGGAGGAACATGGGCCAGTCCTGGAGTCCGAGGAAGGCTCTGCGTCGACGGCCGCCCGACAGTTATCAGCTGCCTTCGAAGTTGGAGAGCAGTGGGGCAGAACAACAGCTAGAGACTGATCCCAGTGTGCACATGCGCACAAGCTGCCAGGAGGAGGAAACAGCTAAGGAACAAGGGCCGACTCAGGAGTAAAGGCACAGGTGGACGGTGAATGGCCCCTCCCAGAGGAAATAAAAGAGGAACAAAAGGGGAGTGGAGTTTGCAGGAAACCATTCGTTTGCTTAATTGGCTTGTGACTCTCCGAGAGTCCTTGCCAAATTTTGAAGATATCGGCCTGGCAGCTCTCCAAGCCAGATAAGGTCTGTGACCGTAAATCTTCCTTTAAAAGACTTTGCTGGAGGTGAATGAGCAGAATTCACAGTCAATTAATACACGTTTTTTTTGTCAGGACCAGGAGTTGGCTTCCTGCTCTCGGGAAGCCTAAGTCAGCCCAAAAGTGTAGGATGGCAAGCACACTCTGCCCACAGCCTGGAGTTTGATCCTGACAGGGATCCAGGTTGACTCAGCCTTCCATCCTTCCGAGGTCAACTTCGAGCTGGTGAGAATCGAACTGCCGAACTGCTGGCACTCAGCAGAAGTGGCCTGCAGTACTGCATTCTAATCACTGCGCCACCACAGCTCTTAGATATACCCAACCTGTGTGAGATATAGGCAATAAAAGCACGCTAAGATCTACTTACTGGATTTTAGCTCCAGGTAGCCGACATTCGTGGTCTAAGAGAAGGCGTTCGGTCAGCTGCAGAACTGTACACATGACTGCAGTGAGTGGAAAACAGACCTTCAGTTTATGGAAATCAGTTGCAACCCTCCAAATCCTTGCTAAGTGACCAGTTCTAAATTGAAGGCTATTTGTAGATATCTTCTATATCAGGAAATCCCCATCCCCAGGACTGGGGAATTCTGGGAGTTGAAGTCCACACATCCCAAAGTTGCCCAAGTTAATGATATAGAACAGTGGTCTCCAACCTTGGCAACTTTAAGACCTGTGGACTTCAATTCCCAGAATTCCTCAGCCAGCTTTGCTGGCTGAGGAACTCTGGGAGTTGAAGTCCACAAGTCTTAAAGTTGCCAAGGTTGGAGACCAGTGATATAGAATATGCAGCATGAGTGAGTGGCTGGAATTTATAAGAATCGCTCTCCAAAATGTGGATGAAAAAGTACCCTACAGCGTCAAGCTGAAAGCTCTTCACGCCTCAGCGGCTCCACGGGCCAAAACCGGGAGCCAGCCGAAGTAGATTTGCTAACCAGTCTCTGTCGCTGAGGAGAATTCAGGAACGTGAGAGAAATTAGAAACACGTCTGTCCTAGCTCAGACTGAGTCAGAAAGCTGGCAGACACAGGCAGCTGAGGCGTGTCATCTCAACTTTGGCAGACTCAGTCCAATCAGCTAGCAGACGGAGTTAACCCATTCCTGGATTCTCTCATCAGCACAACTGGAGAAAGTACCCTACTTCTATTCTACAGACTAGTTAGGATCCTTTTCAAGGATCACAGATCTCCAGTGGTTTTAATAAGGAAAAGAACTATCCAAGGAAGAGCAACATATCTGACCTTTGGTGTCCCTAACAGGTCAGCTATTAAAACAAACGATAAAACCGTTTTGCCGAATTCCAGAGTTGGTAAAGGTGAAATTTATCACAGGTAATAAACTGGTTTTGTTTCTGCCGGAAAGAGGGCTGAGAAAGTAGCTACAGACCCTTCACATCCTGGGCATAAACTATTTCAACGTCTCACTTCACTGCTCCAGGGCACGACATGCCAAGACAACTAGACACAGTTTTTCCTCTCCGTGCCATTACTCTACTCTCCCTCGGCGCTGTCTTATACCTAAAGATATTGTGTAGTAGGGCTGTTTTGCTATTATCCTTCACCTCTTTCTCATCTCATTCTCCTCATCTTTCCTACTACCTTCCCCTATTAGTATCTTATGATTTATCCCTTGTTGTTTATAACTTATGACTGGCTGATAACCGGGCGCTGCCTGGGTATTTATTTGTCCCAATCCACCTTCCATGAACGTTGCCGCAATTTCTAATGTTACCAGAGGGACCCCTTTGTGGAGTACTGTGAAGCCATTACTATTGCAACTCCACAGCTCTGTACAGTGGAAGTCATTTTAAAGCAGTACAGTAGAAGCCGTTTTACAGCACAACAGGCTGTATCTTAACAAAACACACATCCCGAGGAGTGTTAGGAGTGTCTTACCCACCACAGTATGTTTCCAGAAGGTAAGTACCGTATTTTTCGGAGTATAAGACGCACCTTTTTCCCTCAAAAAAGAGGCTGAAAATCTGGGTGTCTTATACACTGATAATTTTTTGCCTCCTGAAACTCTACCCCCTTCACCAAAATGGCCATGCATAGCTTGTAAGAGGCTTTCAGAGAGCTCCTGGAGGCTGGGGAGGACAGAAATGAGCACAAAATGGTCCTTTTTTTTTTTTGCTCAATTTTGCCCCCCCCCAGCCCCCAGCATTCTATAAGCTTCCCAATGCCCTTTTTTGACAAAAATGGGCCGTTTTTTGCTCATTTTTGCCCTCCCCCCCAACATTCTACAAGCCTTCTTAGGGCTATTCATGCCCTTTTTAAAAAAACAGGCTTGTTTTCACGAAAAATGGGCCGTTCCTGGGAGATTTACAGAGTGCAAAGAATTTTTTTTTAATTTGCCTCTTCAAAACCTTAGTGCGTCTTATACTCCGCTGAGTCTTATACTCCGAAAAATACGGCAATCAGTGTACCAAGTTTGGTTGAAATTGCTTGAGACGTTCCAGAGTTAAGCTGGAACATACATACACACTCAAACACACACACAGCCATTTTTATATATATAGAAGATTTATGACTGTATCTGATGATTTATGCTCTATGACTTATCAGTATGTTGTTTGTAGATACACTTCCTATTCCACTCTACTCTACTCCTACCCCCTACTCCTTCTTACCTTCCTCTGAAGCAGACTGCAGGAATTTCTCAGAAGTGAAGATCTGTTTTTTCTCATCCAATATAAGCTGCCATAAGCTGTTCAGTTTGTTTTCTGAAAAGTGCAGGATTAAAAAAAGGATTTTTTTTTTTACTGACTGAGCTGATAGTTCACCCTATGCTTAACTGGTATCACACCTTCTGTAAGGCAACCTGAGCAAATCAGTTGATTTATTTAATTTGCATGCCACCCTTTATTATTGTTATAAATAAGGCTAACCACAAACGGATTTCAAACCCTCCAGGTAAGGCGAAATCTGGTTAGTACTAACTGCTGTTGGTCGCCAGAAATAACTTCTAATAATTGATCAATATTACGGGGAGAGATAAAATGTCAAAGAGGAGGAATTAGGTATCACAATTCTGCGTCATGGTGGAGGCCAGAATACTAGGTGAGTTGATTCTAGAGGGTATACAAGATTATGCCTCAATTGTGTGATTTTGTCTGTCTGTCTGTCTCTCTCTCTCTCTTATTATTAGTCTGCTATTGTTGAGAAAATTGTGATTTGTTTTATGGCAACCTGGGGTTGCATTTTTCTGAGTTTAGTGGTATTAAAAGATAAAGGTTCCCCTAGCTACTCGTTCACGACTCTAGGGGGCGGTGCTCATCTCCGTTTCAAAGCCGAAGAGCCAGCGCTGTCCAAAGACGTCTCCGTGGTCATGTGGCCAGCATGACTCAATGCCGAAGCCATACAGAACGCTGTTCCCTTCCCACCAAAGGTGGCCCCTATTTTTCTACTTGCATTTTTTACGTGCTTTCGAACTGCTAGGTTGGCAGAAGCTGGGACAAGTAGCGGGCGCTCATTCCGTTAAGCGGCGCTAGGGATTCGAACTGCTGTAACTGCTGACTTTTCTGATCTTTAAAGTCAGATCTTGAAAAAAATCTTGGCACTGAAGTGGGGAGAGAGTGTGGGCCAATTACACAATTAAGTCCTTCGGATCGTGCCTAATAATTCATTAGCCTAAAGGAAATAGAACTCTGCTGAAAACAGCCGAAAGCAGCTTCCGTTTCACTGCGGGGGGATCTTACCTATTTGCGCATCAGCTACCGAAAGTCTACACATTAGCAAAGCTGCGGCGACACCTTCCGTCACCAGAGGAATCTGGGTGCTCTGAGCTCCTGCTTTCTCCACGGTCTGGATCAGTAAGGGCAGCATCTCTGCACCTTGTAGGAGGACATTGCCTACAGAAGCAGAAAATTATATATTCAGGGATTAACGCACGCACACACACACAGCATTTTTGCTGATAAATAAATGAAGGGAGACTAGTATAGATCTATTTCAAGCTATTTAGCTCTCATCAGCTAGCCATACCCTTGCTGTGATTTGAACCTGGGCTGTTTTTACATATTAGGCAGTTGTATTAACCTCTAAGCCACAAGCTCTCCTCCTTTGTCAGCTGAGCCAAGGAAATGATTAAGTGTTATGTCAAAGCACCTGGTATGCCCAAATATGGGAGGGAGCATACTGTTCCGTTGCGTGCATGTGCACTGGCCAGCTGCTCTCTTCTGGGTTCTGGCGTGCGCAGGCGCGAAGACCAGCTGTACCGCACACATGTGTGCAGCAAAACACAGAAGAGCAGCTGGCTGCTGCGTGCATGCAGTCCTGGAGTCTGGGGAAGGCTCTGACGAGGGCTCTGTGTCAGAGGCAGAGAGGGGGCCAGGGCCGTCTGACAGTTATCAGCTGACTTCGGAGTCAGACATCAGTGAGGCAGAAGAACAGCTGGAGCCTGATCCCAGTGTGCGCATGCACAGAGTTGCCAGACGATGGGAACAGCTAAAGAATAGGGGTTGACTTGGGAGTAGTTCCACAGGTGGATGGTGAATGCCCCTTCCCAGAAGAAATAAAGA